AGATTCCAAAGTAACAATGTAGTCACAACCGATTACATAACAAAAGATAAAATAATTTCCCCGAGTGTGTGTACGGTCACGCTGGCGCCTTCCCACGGTCCTCACTCGTACCTGAAACACATAATGCAACAACTGTAAGCATAAAGCTTAGTGAGTTCCCAAAATACTACATACGAACATACGCCTTTCCAGGCCTTGACCTTCCGGTCCATGTGTCTCAGGGGACTTCCGTCCCGACTGGGTAAACCTTCCGGTCCTACCCATGTCAACCCTTACAGTCCATATGACCACGCCTTCCGGCCCATATCAAACATATCATATATGACACATATAGCAAATAACTTAACACACACATAAGGCATATATTTCATATCATATTCGACCTTCCGGTCACACAGTCAAAACCCTTCCGGGTACAGTATAGTGAGAAGACTCACCTCGTATGCCTCGCTAAATCGCTAATCGTGAATCCTAGAATCACTCGGGCTCGAACCCTCGAGCTGCAATCCTCCTATGATATTATAAATCTATAATTATTACTTGTACCACAAAGGTGGACCATCCATATCAAGTCAACACAGGTTGACTTGGTCAGTAGTCTTTAGTCAATTTGGACCAGACTCGGCGAGTGCACAATAGTGACTCAGCGAGTCTACGCGTTTTTACCAACTCTCAAGAATTTTCCCTTTGACTCGTCGAGTACTCCCCCGACTCGACGAGTTCCACCTGGGCCTGAATCACAGGGCCACCGCGACTCAACTCGCCGAGTCGAAGGTCAACTCGGCGAGTCCCAACTGACTCGGTCCACCTGTCAAACCTTTCCAACTCTCTGCGACTCACTGAGTCGCCCACAACTCGGTCCGGACTACACACAGGATGGTCTCAAGGACAATCTTCAAGCGACTCGTCGAGTCTGTTCTTCAGACTCGGCGAGTCCATTCCATGCACCAGCTAAAATTGGCTTTTGCGGTCAGATCCGTTCCAAAAATACATAGATCTGGCCTTCCCAAGCTTATTTGTCACGTAAAGTCTCAGTCTTGGTTGCCATGCAATGCATACAAGGCTTATTTTGAAGAAACAACCTCTAATATGGCAAGTTTAACTTCTAACTCAAAAGAATGGACATAAAGCTTGTCATAAGGGGTCTCCTGGACCTACTAAAGTCCAGATCTAGGTCCCATATCCCCATGGGACCTCTCATACTTCTTATTCAAGCCAAGAAATGCAAGAAGAAACCCTAGATTTGGCACATCAACACAAAACACGAAGTTTGGCTCTGAAAATTACCTCAAGAAGACTCCCTTGATGAAATAGCAACAGATCTAAGCTCCCCACAACTTCAAGCTTTCTCCTCTCCCTCCTTTCCTTGCAATATCACACAAAATGATGAACAAATGGCCTTCAAACACACTCACAAGGGCTTACAGACGTATGGAGGCTCTTAGGGTTCAAGGTGGCCGCAAATGAGGGCCATAAGGTCCTTCAAATAGGGCTTAGGACCGGGAAATTAGGGTTTCATTAAACAGCGCGGACTCACCGAGTCCGGACGCGAACCCCCGCTCAAAACCGCGACCCGACTCGGCGAGTTCGACCACCAACTCGCCGAGTCCCCTCACAGAATGTCAAAAATTAAATGAAATGAAGATACCTGGGGATCTGGGCTATTACAACACTCCGTATTAGTGATCGGAATATTTCTAGAATTTACCGTATCGGGTTACGACAACTCAATCGGGTACGACCAAAAGCCTCGCCTAACACCGGTATTGGGTAGAATCCCACCGTGTCCAAAACTTAGACACTATATAAAGTGTTCTAAGCTTTCATTTGAAGCTTTTGTCCATCTTTCCTTAATCACTCTTCAACGTCTTTCCTCATCCATAATCAAAGCTCCAAAAACAAAGATTTAAGGCTCCAAATCAAATAGGTAACATCCCTAACTTGTTATCTAACCTCTTTAGCCTTCAAATAAATGTTTAATTTGAGATTTAGGACCTGAAACATGTGTTTACGGCCAAGGATCAAGCTTGGCTCGTAAACACCTATAAATGGGGTTTTAGAGCCATTTAACCCTTCCAAATCATTGTTGGGACTTAGATACGACCTTAAGGCTTGTAAATCGGGACTTGAAACATTTAAAACATGAATTTTGTGGGACAAAAGAGATTTTATGGCCAAGGCTCCTTCTTGGGCCGTAAGCTCCTCAAAAATGGGGATTAAACACCTTAAATCATGTTAGAATGCCTTGAAACTTAACCAATAGCCTTGGAATAAATCATAGAGGCACCTAAAAATAGTTTGGAGCCCTTAAACATATTAAAACACCACATTAAGGAGTTTACGGACATAGCACATACTCTTAGGCCGTACTCTCATAAAAGTGTGTCAAATGATGCCCTTAAACCACCCCAAGGCTTGGAAAAATTACTAGAATCACATGTGATTGCTTTAAGTGCTTCAAATCAATTATCCTTGACCATAGGAGAGTTTACGGCTGTAAACTCCAAGTTTACAGCCGTGAACTCCCTTTTAAATGGTATAAATCCAAAGCAAATTAATCCAAGGCATTTTATAAGTTCATTCCAACATCCCCTTGTTTATTTAAGCCATTTTAACACTCAAAACCACACCAACATGAGTTTACGGCCGCAAACTCATGTATGTGTGTGTTATGTGGCTGTAAACTCCCTTAAATGTTTACTCTTGGGGAGTAAACTCAAGTCCCAAGTCCTTAGTACCAATACACGTTCGTAGATGTCACCCGGGTCACTCTAAACGCTTGTTTTGAGGCGTTTAACCTCATCGGAGTGTAATGTTCCATATAATTAGTGAATGTATCCCTAATTGAATATGTATGGAAATTATCTCATTTTACATAGGGACATCGCGAGTAATCAAGCCCCGAACCAACGTCTAGTGTCCGAAACCGTTCCAATTCCGAGTCTGGTGAGTTCATACCCCTACCCTTTTTCACTGTTTTCACTGTTTTGAGGGGGGAACACAAGCAAAGTACAAGGGATTACTTGTAGTCAAAAATATGTTTTCATGTGTGTGTTTCACATTTTATATGCTTTTAACTCTGATTGGTACAACTGATAACCGTTTGAACATGCAGATCATGTAAACATATATTTGTGAAATGGATTTTAAACTATTTTGTTTTACATATATTTCGCAAATGGTTTTTCACATTTTATCAGTTAAAAGCATGACATTAGAACATTTGAACATAATACCTGTACATTGTTTTGTCCTCGACAACACTCCACATAAATACGCGAGTGGAGGATTATCATATTATTACTAGTAAATTTGTTAATCCTGTATGATTGGAGACACGTCCTCGGCGAACACTCCACAGAGATACGCGAGTGGAGGACTACACCCGTAACCAGAATCTATGGGATTTAGAGAGCGTGACTTGAGTGTATAGATCTATATGGGCTGACTACCCCACACGTGGCAGCTACAGTCGAACCGAATTGGTTCAAGGGTGACGAAAGTCATAAGTATGTGGACTACTTATTGCCACAGGTTTAGTCCATTGTATGGTTATGGAACTCACAATTAGGATAACAGAGATTTACTTATGGTAATAATGAACAACCTTATACAATTCACAAGATAACCAGTTCTCTAGTATACATCTTTCACATTGGAAACCAACATTCAGGAAAGTATGGGACTTTCCTGGGGAAAACATTGAACATAACCACGTATTCGGAAAACATCTTTTACATATAGTAACTAACATACAAGAAAGTATGGGACTTTCCTGGGAAACCTTGTACATAACCAGGTCTAACAAGAATACATCATTTACATATGGTAACCAACATTCAGGAAAGTACGGGACTTTCCTGGGGAAAACATTACATAACCAGAAAAGGGTAATAAATCAGATAACCTTACTTTCCATCTTTTACAATTGATAACATACAAATCAGAAAAGTATGGGACTTTCCTGGGAATACATCGGTACATAACCAGAACAGTATGTCAATCCAGATAACTCAACTATACATCTTTACAAGAGAAAACATGTTTTTCAATGTACAACTTTACTTTATAGGTTGACAAACGATAACCAACCTTTATTAAGAAAATATGGAATTTTCCTGGTGTGTGTAACATTTCAGAAACAGAAAGGAAACTTGAACAATTTCACAAACAAAACCGCTTATGAACTCACCAGCATCATGCTGATTTTCAAACCGTTAGTGTTCTCAGGTCAACATTAGAACAGGTACTCGAAGATCCTTTTTGCTTAAAGACGGAGTACTCAAAAGACCCGTTTCATTTTGTTCATATTTATATGCTATGTATCACAACTATACAAATTCTACTTTTGAAACAACTGTAAAACTTTTCTTATGTAATGTAATGGTTGTTTTTACTTTACTTACTATGTGCATTGGATTTGATACTCAACGTGGAGTCAACCCCGGAAATGTTTCCGCCTTCGGTTATCGGGGTGTGACATTGTCTCTTAATCAAGACATCACTAAGATCCTACACATCTGTATCACTTTATTTCTTTATCATTGACACACTCTCGCACAAAGATCCTTGTGATTTTCAAAACTCTAGTTCGTGGCACTCACATTTATTTTCAGTTTCGCAGTTCAACCCAAGTGTACATAAAAGCAAAAGCTCGTATCTATATACGACAGGTGGAACGCAACCTAAACTACGAAAGGGTGAAGCTGATGCGGAATTGTCTTGTGGATAGGAATTCAAATGGGCGCTTGAAAATTTGAACGGATGTTTACTTTTTCGCCGCTTGACACACGTTTCTGATGTAACAGTTGTCAAGTCGCGTTTTTGCAGGAAACTTTTTAGTACCCGATACAATCTCTCTCCAGATTTTTCTCACCAAATAAATGGTATATGGGTTTTTAACGCTACATCTCTCTTTACCACTCCCAAATTCTCTCAAAGAATTTTGGTGATCAAAAGGCTCTCAACTATTCATCATCTTCTTCTTCAAGAAATCATCAATGACGAGATCCTATGAAACTCCTTCTTTTCAAGAACAAACAAGGCAGTCATTGCTTCATGCCATCAAGCCAAATCAAAACCTGGTGATCGATCTTGATCCTTGCAAGTATGACAGTTATCTTCTTCCTATTGTTGAATGCCTGAAGTACTCTGCGTTGATTACTGCTCTGACTAAGACAAAAAGTGTCCCAATGTCTCTTCGAAGGCTTACTCTTCTGCATGTTATATCAAGGAAGAACAGAGAATCACTTTTGAAATTCACATTAGAACCACCTCCATCACCAAATCTTGCTTTTGCTCAATCTTATGGCTTACTCAAACAGATGACATGATTGATCCTGAATCTGTCGCTAACTCCGTCCAATTAGAGATGTTCTATCAAATGGGGTATAAGGAAACCCTAACCACCATTCTAAGTTCAGAAAACCTAAATTGTCGCCATAATGGAATGAGCTCTTTACCCTAATTTTTAACGATTTCTTTGAAAGGGTAACAGGATCGGATTGTGCCAGCAAGCTTTTTATGTGATCATCTATTGGATTTACACAAGGCTCAACATTGATTTTGGTGCTGTTCTCTGGGCATAAGTTATTCAAAGTGCCCTTTCTACTACTCGTCATAGGGAAATTTCCTATACACGCTTCTGGATTGTCATTTTTCAAAGGGTAATCAATAAGCTTCAAATTCCTATTATGCAAGATTCGTTGATGGCTACTATTTGAACCTTTCATACAAACATTATTCTTGCTGAAAACTCTAAATTTGCATTTGTGGGTTCGATTCCTAAAGCCATGCTTCGTGATGTGCCAGTTGCTAGCAAGATTCTGGAAGGTTATCGATCAATTCCAGCTTCATGTTTTGTACCTTAACTCCTGTGATACAATCGATCATTGCTGAAGCCGATAAACCAAAGAAAGAGGGTCAGAAAGGACGCAAGAAATATGACAAGAAACAGAGTGCTAAAAAGGGTCCATCTGAGCCTGCGAAAACCACCAAGAAATGAAAGGTGCAAATTGGCTCTTCTTCACTAGCTCCTCCTCCAAGCAAGAAGTGAAAGATAAAGAAAGAATTTTGTAAGACCAAATCACCAACTCCGAGTGAAAGCGAACATTCGTTGTCTAACACTTAATTAGATGTTTGTGTTGAAGAGGATGTGCTTGTCCAAACCAAAGACATTGTAACAACTTCACAACTAGAGGTTTTGTAACCTATTTCCACAAATCTCAGGCAACTATTGAGATTCCTGTCTCAGTTCATATTTCCACTGATTTCATTAAGACTATCTCTGCTCCCTCTCCAACTGCCACCGTTTTAATACCAATCTCTATTGCTCCATGCCCACCTGTCTCAATCGGTGCTTCACGACCTTCACCCATTTTCACTGATTCTACCACCACATCAACAACAACTATTGAGCCTCTTGTTTCTATCAATGCAACTGATGCGGGGGCAGGAGCATCAATTTTTACAACTGTTCATTCCACACCACCTATTTCCTTTCTTCGCCATAATAACCCAAATATGATTTTCGGTGATGATGATGACTTCGCAGGATTTACTTGCAGTCCATTCAACATCAGGACTAAAAGTGATGACGAAGCCCTTGTCACGAGAGGGCAACTCAAGGAGATACATGAAAAACTGGAGTTCCTGCTTCACGCTACAAAGATATCATCCATTGATGATTATTCTCAAGCAACTGTAAAGTCCATTCTTGAGACCCTCACTAAAGAGTACTCCGCCAACCTTGAAAAGATGAACAAGGTGGTAGATGCTTCTACCATAGTCTGCAACAACACAACCGAAAAATTCGATAAACTAATAACTGATGCTCAAGTTTTCATTGAGAAGTTCAAGAGATCCTTTGAGTCCAACATTGCGAAGGCTAATGAAGTCATTTCTAGCGTGGGCTCAACACTTAAAACTAAGAAGGTGAAACTTCAAGAGGTTCACTCTTGTCTTAAATCTAACCATGACAAGTTCCAATCATCTATCTCCTCGTAAATCTCTAAGATTCAAGATGATTTGGCTATGGAGAGAAAAATCATGGATGTTCTTTCCATCAAGATAGAAAAGGTGAAAGTCTTGACAGTCAAAATTGTAAATGCTGAGAAACAAGTCAATGATTTGTTATTTGAGAAAGCTGCTATGAAAAGCTACATCGTAGACATCACTGGCATGCTTTCATATATCATTGAGACACGAGACTCAATGATTACGATTATGGTAAAGAACAATGTCGCTGAGAGAAATCACGGATTCACTAATGGGATAAAACATTTCATCTACTTTGCATAACTATATAAATCGAAAGAAGAAATGCAACAAAAACATCAACCATCTTCTTCCTTACGGAACCTCCTTTTGCCTCAACTTGAAATTTCCCACATGTAAAGGGTCCTCACCACTGCCTCGCTACACGTTAAAAAGGATAAAAGCTCGATTGAGCAGTAGGCGTTAAAGATGAAAGGAGCGATAGACAAACAATGATATGGAGCTTTCCAATTTAAGTCGTCAATTATTTGTGTGAGAAAAAAAGGTGAATGAGAAAAGTATAAGAAATAAATAATATAAGGAGCCAAAAACAAAGCGGTGTAAGGATGGAAAATCATGTACAATGAAGGGTTTCATTTTTGGAGAAATAGAGCCGGAAAGGAAGCGCTGGTTGAGGACAAATGTACCTCTATGTTTGAAACGTTTCGTACGGGGCGACGTTTGGCCCTTTTCAAGCGCTGCTTTTCTCTAAAACCCGTTCATGCGATGTACGTGCTAAAAAAAGGTTTCTTTATATATATATATATATATATATATATATATATATATATATATATATATATATATATATATATATATATAGAGAGAGAGAGAGAGAGAGAGCTAGATTCAAATGTTTCCTACAAGTATTTTATGCATGTATGGACCAATGAGAATTTAGCAATTATTTAATAATTAAATAAATTAATAAGGGTAAATTAGTAAATCATGACTCTAAAATTATTGTAATTGAGATAAATGGGGGATTTGATTTAAAATCACCAAAATAAATATGTTGACCTAATAATCTGTAATAACCCGAAATTGTTCGTCGCCAAAACCCGTTCTACCCGAAAGGTTGCCGTTATCAAATTCGTTCTGTTTTCTTTTTGGAGTTAATTATTCAAACTTATATGTTTATTATAATTTAATGAGTGTCTAAATCACTCAGGAACTCACGTAATTAGCCCGAAAATAATTATTTAATAAGTTTTAGAAATGTCCCCGCCGGGTGACGGTAACTTAATCGGGTGCGACCAAAAACCGCGTTTAACGCCGGTATCGGGTAGAATTCCACCGCATACAAGTTTTCAGACCTATATAAACGTATTCTAGCATCCATTTGAAGCTTTTTCCTTCTCTCTCTACTCTCTCTCTCTAACCTCTCTCCTAAATCCAAGTTTAAGGGTCCAAAACTCAAATTTAAGGCTTCAAATCTCTAAGGTACACTCCTTAGCTTGTATTATAACCTCCTTATCCTTCAAATTCGAATTCAAAACATAATTTGTGACCACATACATGAGTTTACGGCCATGGAGCATTCATGGGCCGTAAACTCACAATAAGTGGGTTTTTGAGCCCTTAAACCCCTCCTTGACAAGTTTAGGACTTAGATATGGCTAAATGACTTCAACATATGGACTCTAAACAATTAAAACATGAACTTTGTGATGTTTGAAGGAGTTTACGGCCAAGGATCATTCTTGGGCCATAAACTCATATATCTAGGGTTTTCATGCCCTTAAACCCTTCCAAACCACTTATATGTCTTAGTTATGAATTATAGAACATTGATAATTGCATTTAGACACTTGAAACATCATTTTTGGGGGACAAATAAGAGTTTACGGCCAAGTTATGTGCTTGGGCCGTAAACTCCTCTAAATGGGGGATTAAGTGTCTTTAAACATGTCCAAACGCCCTGAAACTCAACCAATGACCTTGTGGTAAATCCTAGAATCATCTAAAAATGGTTTGGAGGCCTTAAACACATCAAACACACCACATATTGGAGTTTACGGCCTAAGCACATAGCCTTTGGCCATAAACTCATATTCACATGTCAAAATGCCCTTAAACCACCCCTAAGGCCTTGGTTTGAATTTTAGAAGTCCTTAAAAACAAGTTTTTGGCATTAAAACACAAGGATTTACTCTCTATGAGAGTTTACGGCCATGAGAAGGGTCTTATTGGCCGTAAACTCCAAAAACCCCCCTTCAAAGTTACAAACAAATGCATATAAGGCTTTGGTACAATTTTAAAAATCAGATGTGATTAGTTTGGGATCCAAAAACACAACTTTTCATGCATTTATAGGAGTTTACGGCCATGAGACCATGCTAGGCCGTAAACTCCCTAAAATTTGTCATTTTGATGTTAAAAATCCATTCCAAGACTTTGAACCAAACCTAGAAAAATTCCCCTAAGTGTTTGAAGTCACTTTTGCCCATATTTGACCCCACCATGAGTTTACGGCCGTAAACTCATGGGGAATGGGTCTTGTGGCCGTGAACTCCCTAAAGGGGGTGTTCCTTTGAAGTCCCAACTCATTTCCTAAGTCCCTCGCATCATTCATTTCCCTAAACGCTACCCGGGTCCCTCCAAACACTTATATCGGAGTGTAATCGCGACTTGAAGCAATTGCCCCTATCTAACAATCAATCTAAGTCCTAATTAGATACAAATGTGTATCTTTACATTATAATTAGGAACCTCGTGTGTTTACAAGTTCTGGATCAACTCTTAGCATCCAAACCGTCTCATATCTCGTCCGGTGAGTTCATACCCCTACGGCTTTTTCACTGTTTTCAATGTTTTCAGGGGGGAATACAAGCAAACTATAACTGTTTTCAAATCATAACATTGATATGTTTCAAACAATATCTGACCAACTTATAAACTCTTTTACTCCTTATGTATTATGCTGAGCATAAGGAATGATTTATCAATTACAACTAAATGAATTTTAGTTAAGGAAACAATCAAACTAATCAAATTATTATGGGAATAATTTGGGGGTCTTTACTGTTCTTTCTATCCTATGCTGATGTCTATATAAAGTTAATAGGTAAACTATGTCTGATTCAGTTTATCTCCGTATCATTTGAATGTATCGTCAGATAATTTCATTGTATGTATCTATATTTACTGTACTATGTTTCATAATCCTCTGTATGTCGTTATCGTATGAAAAACCTGTGAATAGCTTAGTACTAGTTTATGAGATAGTCACTACTGCTAATTTGTGAAAAACCTTTCATAATCCTCCCCGGAAGTGTAACCAGAGTCTTCTGGAGGGAGAGCGTGAAATTTGTGAATAGATCTATTCGGGACTGACAATCCCACACCTTAACTGCTAGCTACAGTTAGGCGGGCACGCCTGGGGTGACAAATTTTTGGATATCGTTTCGACGTCTGACAAACGTCAAGGAGGTCACATTGTCGTATTAGTATGGTTACCCGACTCACAACATGTATTAATATTAGCTTATTCACAGTTTGGGTTTAGAAGCTATATCTCGTTCGGGATAGTGATCCCATGGTTTTGCATCTATGTTTTATACGGGATAGTGATCCCATGGTTTTATATCTATATCTTTCGGGTTAGTGATCCCATGGTTTTATATCTATATCTTTCAGGTTAGTGATCCTATGGTTTTGTTTCTAGATCTCTTTCGGGATAGTGATCCCATGGTATTATCAAACTATTTTATATCTAGTCCGGGATAGTGATCCCATGGTTTTGTAACTATATCATATACGGGATAGTTATCCCATGGTCTTTAATCTATATCTATTACGGGATAGTAATCCCATGGTTTTGTATCTATAACTTGTGCGGGATGTCTTTCCCCATGGTCTTTAACTATATCTTATACGGGATAGTGATCCCATGGTTTTCCAAATCTGTATCTTATCCGGGATAGTGATCCCACGGTTTTTGTGACATCCCCAAAATCTCGGCTAGGAAAGTCCGATTTCATTTATGCTTTTTAAAATAATTTTCAGAGTAAATCCTTTTAATTTTAAAAGAGATGCGGAATTTGTTCCCAAAAACAAAACATGATAAAATAGATATTTATCAAAACATTTCATAAAGAAATATGATTTCATTTCACAATCAAAAGTCGGGATGTCATGTTCCGATACAGATCATAAAGCGTAAACGATAGCATTACAAGTCATTCAACAAATATATACATATACAGACTTGTAAACAAAACAACTTGATGTTGCCCATCTTAAGCTCTTGTGCCACTTCCTGTAAAATAAATCCACTGAGTGGGTCAGGCTTGGGAGCCTGGTGAGCATATAGGGTTTTCAACCCACAATAATTATATTTAATTTCAACAATCAACAATAAACCCGATTACCCATTCCCGTTATCCTCACCTTACGTTCCTAAAAATAACGTCTATTATAAGGAACCTATTTCAGGATTTTTCATCGGGACGGACATCACTGCAGAGGGGCTTCCTCAACAATAAGTGTCCTAAAGGCAACCATGTGGGGGATAGAGTACACCGGTGAACACGTCGTTCACAACACCTACAGGTAATGAGCCTGCTAGTGTTCCACAGGACAGTCTAGAATAGTCCGTGGTCGTCATCCATACTCTGCTGAATGACTAGAATAACACCAATAACACCGAGGCCTCTCATCTGTTTATTACACACCAATTATCTACCCATGTTCTACCCAACATATTAGTAGATAAAAATATACGTTTTTATACATAGTTTAAAAACCTGTATAACATGCTTTAAGCAATACATATTCCACATAACGGATGAGGCATACACACATAACACGTATTTCATAGAGAATACATCAGATCTATAAGATAGAAGAGAGTGAATATACACTCACACGTATAACAACCAAATATATACACCTAACACGTATTTTATATGAAATACTTCATAATATTGCGTTGGAATGAAAATAACTACACACTCACTTGATCAAAAGATGATCGGGCAGCACTACGGCTTGCAGAAGAGGTGTTTCTCCATAGATCTGGAAGATCTTCACAAAACCGGGCTCCTCGCGGGCAGCGTTTCGGCTCGGGAATAACGCTCTTCGGGATCCTCGGGGCTTCGGATCTTACTTCGGGGCTCGGGAATATTACCGGGACTTTGGGGTATAAACGGCATGCAAAACGAGGCAAAACTTAGAGAGAGGGAAGAGTTTGAACAAGAGAAAATGGCTGAACTCGAGTTCTATTTATAGGCTGCTGGGTCTGGGATTACGCGGGGCGTACT